AAACCCAATTGTTGGTGTTGATTCTATCTACTTCTCTCCCCTTAATTCAAGATGAATCAAGAACATCAAACTCTTCGATCAAACTTCCGGTTACCGTTACTTGCTTGAACGAACCCATCGTTCTTCAAACCTTTCACTCGGCTGATTCTGACTGCAAGACGTTCGACCCCAAATCTTTCGACACAATCCTCCGGTTACCGCTACTTGTTTGAACAAACCCACTGTTATTCAAACCTTTCACTCGAATGAATCTATAACACATCACTCGAATGAATCTATAACACAAAGATTTATGCAAAAAAAATCCAAATCCTCAAGATCTTTAAGGACAAAACCCCAACGGTTTTATTCAAGAAAAACCCAATGGGCTCTCAACTCAAACTAGATACACAAATCCTATGTTTAGACCTTATCACCTCGACAATGCAAAAGATCAACAAAAATGATTATGTGTAATTGTTGAAGAATTCAAGTGTGAGAATGAATATGATAAGCAATGCAATGTATATCATTCACTTTCATGTTCTTTCTAGTATAAATGATGAAGCATATGAATATATATGAGACCAAGATAATATAACTGAAATAACAACTTTTTGAAACACAAAGGATCAGAAAAATGATTTAAAGTGAGCGAGAGGTCAACCAAAGCACTTTGTGGGTCGACCTAGCACACCCGAATGAAAATCTGCACAAAACTTCAAGCGATGCGTCGACCGAAACATGGTCGTGTGTCGATGCAAGGGCACATCAGAACAAAGAATCATTTTTCCTACAGTATGCGTCGACCGCCTATAACAACCTAAATAAGCCCTCGTAATATTCTTAAATAAAACATCAGAGTAGTTAAAGAAACACACAAAACTTAAGATATTATGACCAACATACAAAACCTGAACATTATTTTATTCGCAGTGGAATTATAAACTCATTTATCGTTTCATGGTATGTAAAAGTTAACGTGGAATCACATAATCCATCAAACAATAATTAAACATGATAAATGATATTTCTACAATCTCAAAGAAAATATAAATCATAAAAACTTTCCCACGACTCCCAAGTGTTACAATCAGAGCAGACACCAACTATATAGAAAAGATAATGAGACTCCATCTTTAACTCACACCTGACTCCTACTGCGGCATATCTACACATTGTTCATGTGGATGCAATATTTAAACAAAAGGGGTGATATATCAAGATAATATAAAGGAAAACATGTTAAATGGTAAACATCAAATTAACACAACCACAATCCAACTACATATCTCACATTAATCAACCATCAATATCATCATCACTTATTCACCAACCAACAGGAAATCACATGATAACAAATCAATTAATCACACAACACCACATATTTGGAAACACAACAACATATAATATCTAATGCAATGAGACTCACACCTGACTCAATGCTTATGCATATGGTGCCAATTTTTCGTGAACACTCAGGTTCACCGTTCTGATCCCACATCTTAGGATCATAACCATTCACTGATCCATCACATTCGAATCAACTACCAGTCCAATCCATACAATGAGATTTTAGGCTCACCAACAACGAACCATTTTTCCATAAATGTATACAATGCGATTATTATTGCATACAACAACAACATCATCGTGTACAATAACCCACCACCATGGATATTGTACACCACCCAAATTGGCCAACAAGTATAAAAATGTATTTCATACAGTATAGACATACATGTATATATTATGAAATCAAAATAACATCATCAAACATGCTTATTTTACACCAATAACACCACTACAACCTCTTTATAACAACATTCAAGTTTCGCCACCTACAACAGGATTTCTCAACATATTAAACATAAAAATATTATAAAAATGTCTCATCTAATTATACCATGTTAAAGTTTTGTTCATTAGCATTCCAACGCTTCGAACAGTTTGTCATTTGGATTAACGGTTAAAAATTTATGGTCAAAACTGTTTCTGGCGTTTTTTTACCTATGAGTCGACCCAAGGTCGACGCGCAGGGTACTTAGGTCGACGCAAGGCCTGTGTGTCGGTGCATACTGTTCAAATTTCCATAATATTATATTCGGGTAGCATCAGGTCGACCCAGAAGATCCTGAAGGTGGACGCACGTTGTTCCGAACCCCAAAAATTACTTTTTTAAAAGCTATTTCACACCAGCTTTTCATACCAGAGCGCTAAACCCCATCATTATAGATCCAAATTTTATACCAAAATAACATCCTAAAACTCAATTATACTATGTTTTACTCATAGATTAACAACAAATTATCATCAATTTCATACTTCCGACTCGAAATTTCAAAACTCATCAATGGAGGAACTTTCAACCATTTCTAAAACTGAAACACCACACACACCTATAGGTAAAGAACCCATCACATATTAGTTAAAAAACATCGTTTATCACAAACCAACTAACAATTTCATCATTTATCAATTATTCATAACAATCATAACATAGAACAATATTTCACCCATAAGACAAATAATAGTCGTAACCTTCAACATATTAAACATAAAAATATTATAAAAATGTCTCATATAATTATACCATGTTAAAGTTTTGTTCATTAGCATTCCAACGCTTCGAACAGTTCGTCATTTGGATTAACGGTTAAAAATTTATGGTCGAAACTGTTTCTGGCGTTTTTTTACCTATGAGTCGACGCGCAGGGTACTTAGGTCGACGCAAGGCCTGTGTGTCGGTGCATACTGTTCAAATTTCCATAATATTATATTCGGGTAGCATCAGGTCGACCCAGAAGATCCTGGAGGTGGACGCACGTTGTTCCGAACCCCAAAAATTACTTTTTTAAAAAGCTATTTCACACCAGCTTTTCATACCAGAGCCTCTGCCGCTAAACCCCATCATTATAGATCCAAATTTTATACCAAAATAACATCCTAAAACTCAATTATACTATGTTTTACTCATAGATTAACAACAAATTATCATCAATTTCATACTTCCGACTCGAAATTTCAAAACTCATCAATGGAGGAACTTTCAACCATTTCTAAAACTGAAACACCACACACACCTATAGGTAAAGAACCTATCACATATTAGTTAAAAAACATCGTTTATCACAAATCAACTAACAATTTCATCATTTATCAATTATTCATAACAATCATAACATAGAACAATATTTCACCCATAAGACAAAATCTAACTTTTACCCAACATTCAACATACTAACCCTTACAAGATCAAAACCCCACCCTTACCTTAGATTTGATGAGCTTTTCCCTTTTCTAATGGAGTTCTTCCTCTTCCTTGCCCTAGCCTCTTTCATTTTCAGTTCCAAATTCACATAAGATCAGAAACTGATTCCAATCTTTTCCAATTCCTTTATAAAATCCCTCAACTATGATTTTCCTCTTTTACCCTCACTCATCTTCATGCAATTACAATCACGCCCTTCAATTCTCTACACACTTAATATCTCATTTTCTTTTATTTCATTCTATTATTATTATTTATCCCATTTAATTAAATAATAATAATAATAATAATAATAATAATAATAATAATAATAATTCTTAGCAATTATCTAATTAAATTAATATTCACCTAATATTAAATAGTTAACTAATTATCACTAATATATTATATTTAATTTTTCTTCTCACACCACCAATCTCTATTCAAATGGTCACATACTCCTCCATCCTCAAGGTCTACTCTTAAGGTTACTACCTCATACCAAGGGTATCCCCAAACATAAGCATCCTTAATAAGTTTAAAAACACCAGCATCACAATTAAGGGGTCTAAGGTCACGACTAAAGCAAAACTTATAGTTCTAGTACCACGAACACTTGATATTCATATATCCCTCATTTCTTATCATTCCTTCCAGCTGCATATAGGACATATAATCCATATCCTATTTCGAATTCATTTCGGAGACTACTCCATTAATGTACCACTTCACATGTGTTTCTACTAGTTTTCCCTTATGATGAATTCTTAATCTAATTGTATGATTCTGAGAAGGCTCAGAAAACAATTTAAAATGAACAATCATAACTTATACCCAGAAATGACATATATATTAAAGCAAACCCCAAACCCAGAAAATAAAAAGCATTTCACATACCTCAAACAATATTTCACTTCTTCTTTGTTTTGCCACAAATTGGGAGGGTTATTCATCTTCTGAATACGTTGAACAATGAAATGGGAATGGACGCTGAAAGTGGATGAACGAGATGAACAACGAAACAGATGGACGAATGTGAAGAATGAAAGACGGCGATGGAGACTTAGGGATTCTAATTTTATAACATTTTAATTTATTTTTATAAATTAAAATACTATATATTATTAAAATACTATTTTAGAAAAATATATTATTAATTTTTAATTTAAATTAACGACGTGACGCCAACTATTGCGTGTCAACCCAACTTTTTCATTTGTCACGTAGACCAAAGTTTAAAAGGATAAAAAATCCGAATCAAAATTGAATAGGAAGACTAAAAGATTGAAAAAATGATATACTCAATGATTGGTTTATTAATAAAACTCACAAGATAATTTAAATTAAATTAAATGTAAATTAACAAAAACTATCAATTACTTAACATAATTCAAAATTGAGATATTTTCTTTGTTTCAATATTTCAAAGTTGTAAATATCTCGCTCTACAAATTTAATGACAATTCCAAACTAAAAAAGAAACAGTTAAACGTAATTGAATTTAGAAAAACTCATTTCAACGCCCGACCACAAAGCTCTCCGATCTCCATTTCCTTTTCAGATCTCGACCTTCTTCTCTTCCGCATCTTCCGTTTTCCATTTTCGTTCACTTCATAACTCATCACACTTCACTCTCCATTTTTTCTTTCCAATAAAATCACATTATTTAAAAATTTTTCATTTTTTTTAATATATCTCATCTCAATCAATTTCTCACTCATCTCAAGCACAGCAACCATCGTGGATCAGATCAGTTTTTTCAATTTTCGCGATGGCTGCTCCTCCTGCAAGAGCTCGATCCGATTACGATTATCTCATAAAGCTTCTTCTCATCGGTGATAGCGGTACTTATTTTCTTTTTCTAGTTCCTCCGATTTTCTTCAATTTGATCCGTTCCGTGTTTGTTGATCTTATTATGCAAGTCTAAAATTGTTTATTTCAATTTATTCTCTAAATATTTGTTTAGGTCTGAAGATTTTTGTGTTTAACCGTTTCAGAGCTTATTAGGTTTTATGATTTTCAATTGTAAATTAGTTTGTAGTGTATTCTTTGAAGTTTTACTGTAATGAATGGAGGTAGTACCTAGTTTTTGTTAAATTGCTTAATCAAACGTGCTTGTTTATATAAGCTGTTCATTTAAACTATACGCTGTTTTCATATATTTATCTTGGAGTCGAGAGTTTATTGAATAAGCTGAAAATAATTTATAGGCAGTCACAAGCTCAAGCTGTTTTCATACCCGAGAATTATCTCATAAGTGCTTATGGTAGTAGAGAGAGCGGTCTCAATTTTATCGGAGGCCCGGTGTAGATTAGTTACACTTTAATCATGGAAAAACAAATAGAGGTTTTATCTAACCATTGTATAACCATTATAAATATTTGATGAGGCCCTATTAGCAACGGGTTAACTGTGATAAATTTGAGGCTCTCCGGTAGTCCGTCTTACATGCCCTCAAAGAAGGCCTAGTAGATAGGTTCAAATGATCTTATACAAACACACTTTATATCTCCTCTCTTTCTCCACTTTATTATGATAATAATAAGAAGAAGAACTATTATTATTTTTATTATTATTATCATTATTGTTGTTGTTGTTATTATTATTATTATTATTATTATTATTATTATTATTATTATTATTATTATTATTATTATTATTATTATTATTATTATTATTATTATTATTATTATTATTATTATTTTATTAATGTATGGGATGTTTTCAAATTGGTAGGTGTGGGTAAAAGTTGCCTTCTATTGCGTTTCTCAGATGGTTCATTTACAACAAGTTTTATCACAACCATTGGGTATGTTGTTTTTGTATGAGTCCACTTATTATAAGTTTTCTTTGTTCTTCTTTGTCTCTGTTGCGAGGAGATGACGCTGTACTTACTAGAATGTTTTATTTTCGTCAGCATTGATTTCAAAATAAGGACAATAGAGCTTGATGGTAAGCGAATCAAATTGCAAATATGGGACACAGCTGGTCAAGAGCGGTTTCGAACCATTACAACTGGTTAGTTTTATTTATTGAAATAGATTTGTGTTGTTCTCTTTCCCTCCCAATGTAACAAATAATCAGTGAGAGCTCAGTTGTGGTTCTTTATATGCAACTTACGGACACTTCTTATGCAGTGTATGCTTGTCATAATATTATTCAATTGCTAGTTATTTATTGATGTTTTGTTCTTGTGCATTGGATAGGAACCACTAAATATTAACTAGTATATTTCAATATTATTTATTGATTGAGGCAAATAGATTTCACCTTTTTCTCTAGCTTGCTAAACCGTTTTATCGAAAATCATCCTGTTTTAATTTAGATTTAAACTTCTATTTGCTAGATCAAATGTATAACGTACTTGATATGACTGGTGGTCTATTAATGTACCTAGTAAGATTGCCCACTGTTTGAGACAATATGTTTTTTACTAGATTGTTTGGGCTGGATCTCTTCATTAGATTGGTTTGGACTTTATCATAAAGTTCTGGATATTATCAGACCTGTGAAGTAGTTGGATCTCCAGTGTTGTGCCCGCTGATTATAACCTTACATGTGATTGAGGTTTAGTTCTACTATATGAAGCCTGTAGACTTGATACAACATGAGCACAATACGACACAGATATGGGAAGTTCTTGAAAACCGAAGATATGATATGGGCTTAATTCATTACACAAATTTATAAAATTCTACATACTTATTATTTTACACAAATCAATGCAATAATGTTTATTAACAAACATTTATATTTTTTCATTAATATATAACTATTACTTGCATATGATGATCACAACTCAAAATAATTGTATTTTTTAAACAACTAATGTTAGTATTGTTAGTTTTATGTAAGGAGTGGGGGTCGATTCCTCAACCTTCTTATCACTCCATTCCTTACGAAAAAATTCTTGTGATCATTGTCCATTATAAAAAAGCGTAGAAATATATCTTTATCTTACCCATATCAAAATTAACAATTTTCATTGTAACATGTCATAAATATATTCTTTTTCTCTTAATATTGTCAAAATGTCACAAAGTTCCACTACTATTTAACATAAGTCTAGACCTATGAAGCACATACTTTGACATAGACACCAGAGACACGGCACAAACATTGGGATACAACTAGAGTCCAACATATAAGACACTGGGATACCTCATACTTGTATATATTTGATATAATCTATATTCTAATGTGATTATGTATTGTAAAATATTGCTCTGTTTGCCAACATCAGTATATATTATGACATCGACTGACAACCATCACTATTTCAAACACAATTTCTAGTCTGACATTGTGTTTAACCTTTTTCTTTTGTGCAGCTTATTACCGTGGAGCAATGGGCATTTTGCTTGTGTATGATGTCACTGATGAGTCATCTTTTAACAGTAAGTTATCCTTCCTCCTCTTGGTTTTAGTTTTGTCCCATGCCTCTTATTATTTCTTCCACATTTCTTAATCTCCTATAATGTGTGTTTCCTTATACCCACATGCATTAGTGGAACAAGTATTTTTGTTGGTAAATTCTACTTCTCAACTTTGTATTTTGGGGAGATTCCAGTGCTTAGATGTGTACTAAGATGCAACTGACTGCTAGATTTGTTTCATCTCATATCCAGACATCAAGAATTGGATTCGCAACATTGAGCAGCATGCTTCTGACAATGTCAACAAGATATTAGTTGGGAACAAGGCTGACATGGACGAAAGCAAAAGGGTTTGCCCCACACACTCACTCTTTGTCCATCCTTTTGGTTATGCATGTACACCTATCTCCTGTGATTTCTATGCTACACTTGATGCTGGAAATTATTCTCCTTAGGCTGTTCCAACTTCGAAGGGTCAAGCTCTCGCTGATGAATATGGTATCAAGTTTTTCGAAACTGTAAGCAGCACTTACTACTCTTGTTTGAAAAGCATTCCAAATTGCTATGCTGTTTTTAATGCAGAGATTATGCTTATGCAGAGTGCAAAAACTAATATGAATGTGGATGAGGTTTTCTTTTCAATAGCCCGGGACATCAAACAAAGACTTGCAGAAACTGACTCAAAGACCGAGGTTTATATTTTGACCTTTATCTTGTTATGATGGATTCGTCGATTATCTTGCAAATTGCCACAGTATATATTTGCTTCATTTTATTATTTATTTGAAGTTAATGCAAGACTATTGCTTGATATTCCTAGTTATCTTTTTTAGACTATTATTGCAGTGCATGTTTGATTGAATAAAAAAATCCATACCAGATTTAATTGCCTCGTCATCTTCGCACTAATTTTTTGTTTGGTTCTTTGCAGCCCCAAACACTCAAGATTAACCAACCAGACCAAGGAGCTGGGTCTGCTCAAGCCACACAAAAATCTGCTTGTTGTGGTTCTTAGGGGCAGACCATTTGACCATAGAAGTTAATTTGGTCAATGACTTTCATCAGTGCTTGTATTGTTCTTTTCTTATTTTACAGTTGCTACTTATTGGGTGTGAATGGTAGATCCTTCCTATGTTGGGAAATTAATCATATATCTATTTATTGCTGTATCTGTATCTGTTTTTTCTTTCTTTCTTTTTCAGGAACCTGACTATTGCATAATCTTTGCTAAAACCGAGAACATCGTCTGCCTACTCGGTGCTCCAATATATCTTAGTGGTACTATGAATCAAACTTTATACAATTGATTTGATGTTTCTTGGCTTAACTTTATAATCTGAACAAATACTTGGATATATTATAGCTAAGTTTAATTTTGTTCAATCTCTAATTTCGCCATACGTCATTTCTTCATACTTCTCAAAACACATTGTTTTTCACTTATAATCTGTTTAATTAATAGAATTTAATAACTTTGCCATTCACAAGCTGTTTGAGTTTAGTTCGTCGAACAACTCATCTAGATTAGTTGGTGATTGAAGATGAATTTAATTTACATACCAGCTTTCCTTTCTGTTGTGAATGCTTGAATTTGAAACATGAAAACACAAGATGGAGGATTAAATTGTGTTTTGATTTTTGTTGCAAACCTACAAAGGATGGAGGATGTAAGATGAAAGCGTTGTTAACATGCTAAATGCATGTGTCATACACAATGTTACCGGTTCCAGATTTGTTATGCAATGTTTAGTTGTTTCAAAAAGATTTTGCAATAGCTTATGAAACATCTAGTACTCTACAAACCCAAGTTAGTATGCTTAAATATGAAATATGTGTAAATTAAAGCAAGGATATAAAGAAGCAAACCATATGAATAGCGATTTGCTATTTAATAGAACTACCTGGTTCTAGCAACATAATTTTGAGAATTTTTTTTTAAAGTAGCAATGTTATAATTTTTATTTACCAAACAAAATAATGTTTCAATTAATTTACGAAAATGGCAAGGTTTTGAAAGGTGGAAGCAGTCAGTCGCCAGATGAATTGGCGAATTAGGCAAATCTCATTTCAACAGATTCGCCAGATGAATTGGCGAATTAGCCAAACCATAACAAACTCGCCACATGAATTGGCGAATTAGCCAAACCATAACAAACTCGCCACATCATTTGGCGAATTAGTATAACTTTATTTTTTGTTTTTTTTTTCTTTTTATATTATGATTTCATATTTTTAAAGTTTAAAAATTTATTTGTTTTTAATTATTATTATTACTAATTTAAGTTTAATATATTAATTTATAATATAATTAATTTATAATATAAGTTTAATTTTAATTTAAGTTTTATTTTTAAAGTTTAATTTTAATTTTAACTTTAATATAAGTTATAATTTTAATTTAAGTTTTAAAATATAAAATATTTTGATTATTATTTTGAATTTTTTTTTAAAATAACCATGTTAATTAATTATTTAATATTTTAATATATTTTAAGTAGAAATTATTTAAATAAAGTTAAATTTGATTCAAAATAATTATTAATATAAAGTTGAAATGTAAAAAAATATATGATTAAACATAGAAATTTAAAATTAAATTTGATTGACTTCCTAATTAAAGTTACAAAATATTGAACATTACGATAAAATGAAAATTACAATATAATTATTGTCCGGCTCTATCTAAGTGACCACCAGTGCCACACCGGGGGGGTTGTGCGTTGCGACGAGGTCGACGACTAGGTTGCTGCGGTGTTTCTGGTCGTTGTGTGTTGGCATTTGGAGGAGGGTTTTGCTGGGAGGGCCCCGGGATATCATAGAGATTTTGCATCATTTGGCCCCAATAACCGGAAGGTCCACTGTCAACTGCGCTTCCGTAATCAAGCCCGACGCCCATGTTTTCGAATGAGTGTCTGGCAGGTTGGGTGGAGTATGGACGGTATGGTTGTCCGAAGGCGTACATTGAATTGGGTTGGGATGGTTGTGTGGGCTGTTGTGGGGTTTCGTAGTTGAATAATGGGTAGTTGGAGGGATAGTTGGAGGGGTAGTTGGAGGGGTGGTTGGAGGGGTGGTTGGATGGGTAGTTGTAGGGGGTAGGGTTGAAAGAGTTGTCTGGGCTATAATGGTCAGGCTGGGACTGGGTGGTAGGCATGTAAAGGTTTTCAGAAGGTTGATTTTGTTGTGTGGTTGACGTTGAAGCTCGTTGCCTTGGATCAACCAAATACGTTGGCTGGGACAGAAATTGCTCAGATGTTGTGACAGACCTAAACCAAGTCATGTATTGAATACTTGGTCTAGCCCCGTGCACAATCCGGTCGGTTAATATGTAGCGGCTTCTTCTGTCCCATTGCCTACACAACGCCTTGGCAAACTCAGTCCAGCTACTAACACTCCATTGTGAGTCCACTCGTTTTTGATGCCACCGTCCCAGATTTACCGGATCCTCTGGGATATCTTGATGCATCCCAAATTGAAGTTTGACCCGGTCACTTTGGTGCATCTCTATTTTAGTGAACCTGATAATGGGTGTTCGCGAGGTCCACACAGCAACATCATTAGGGTTGGGTTGGTGGTCCAGACCCTCGTACGGCATCCATACAAACTACAATAAAGGTTGATGTGTTTAGTCAGACAGACAAATTAAATGTTATGCATACAACTTAGACAAACTAATGGCAAACAACTTACATCATCTGGCCCCAGGTGGTCGATCAGGTTGCGATATTGAATTATAGAGTGCCGTGGACATCTCTGGTAATTCATGCCGGGAACAGACCACCTAAAAATAAGAAACACATCTAAGTCAGAATCGGAAACACATGTAAGAAAGTATTGACTTGTTTTTTAAATTTAAAAATAAAAAACTTACTTGTTGGCATACGGGAATGTGAAAGGGTTACGGTTGATAGGAGCAAGTGTTGGCATCCTTGACCAACCCCACGCTTGTAGGAGATAGGCACATCCATAAAAAGTACACGCATCTTTTTTCGAAGTCTTGCATAGTGCGCTATACAAATGGGCGAGTACGGCTGATCCCCAACTATATTCAGACACTTTGTTAATATTTTGTAACAACGGTAAATACATTGTATGGACGGTATTTCCGGTGCCCTCCGGAAATAAAAAGTGCCCGAACAGAATCATAATATAGCACCTTGTTTTTATTATTTTTTCATATTCCGTGCTATCGTCATCCAAGACAAGAGAACTGTAGTGTTCTCTAAGGTATTTCAGATTTATGCCCTGACCCCTAGGGCGGCCTCCTCTTTCCGCCTGAGGGTCGTCCTCACATAGAGGGGCGCCCAATAAATCTTTACATAGTTGGTCAGGAACACCAACGTTGCCGTTGACAGCCGTACCATCAATGCGTAGGCCGAGCAACATGTAGACATCTTGGAGAGTCACAGTGCACTCACCGAAAGGTAAGTGAAATGTATGCGTCTCTGGTCTCCAGCGTTCTAACAACGCTAGAATAAATTTCATATCAAGAGAATATGATTGGATTTTTAGAACATGACCAAACCCACAATGATGAAGGTAACCCGCCGTGCGTGGGTCGTGTGGTACATAATCATGTACACGACAACGAAACCTTGAAACATCCTGCAAAGAAATAAATGTTTCGTTAGACAAGAAGTGCAAAGTTATAAATAATTATGGTTTGAGATGTATGACTTGTAAACTTACAAACTCAGCAATATTTTCGAGTGTCCCTCTGTGAGATTCTCCCATTGTAAGTAGAGACATTGTTGCGATGTAAAAAAGGTTTGAGATGTATGAGACAAAGAGAGTATGAGAGCTAGAGAGGTTTCAGTGGTTGAGACTTAGAAAAATTGGGAGTTTGAGAGTATGAGAGCTAGAGAGGTTTGAGTGGGTGAGACTTAGAAAACTTGGGAGTTTGAGAGTTTGAGACAAAGAGAGTATGAATGTGTGAGTGTATATACCCCATATTTATATTCAAAGAGTGGATATGGTTTAAATGCATGCTTGACACTTGGCGTGACATATGTGTGTTTTGTTATTGCATGCTGAGCACCTTGAAGGTATTATTTTTATTATTATTAGTATTAATATTTTTATTAGTGCATGCTGAGCACTTGGCGTGAGGCAGAACTTTTATGAGTGCATGCTGAGCACTTGGCGTGACATGTGAGTGCATGCTGAGCACTTGGCGTGAGGCAGAACTTTTATGAGTGCATGCTTGACAAATTACTAACAAATTTTTTAAATGATATTGTATTAGATGTTTTAGTATGTTGATTTAGTAAAATTATTTAAATTAACTAGACTAATGTATTTAAATTTACTAGACTAATCTATTGAAATAAATATAAACAAAGGAGTTATTTTTATTATTATTAATATCAATATTATTATTATTAATATTAATATTATTATTATTAATATTATTATTATTATTATTCATATAAATATTATTAATATTATTGTGAAAAAGGAGATTCCCTCAGTGTAACGTCTAATCAAACAGACTGCATGGCATTTATTGTAATGCAATGTATCAACGCAGATGCTCGTAGGCCTGCATGGTCAATGTAGGGATGCAGATCACATTTTAAAAAACGAGATTCCTTCACTGAAACATCTAATCATATTATATAATATTTTTATTCATCATTTTATATAATATTTTTTTTTCATCATATTATATTATATATTTAATTAAACGTTTTGTGGTTCTTTAATTGCATAAAATAATTTTATTCATCGTAGTGTGATAAATGAACATCACAATTAAAGGCAGAAGTTTGCATTGTCACTTCACAATTAAACGTTTTGTGGCAGAAGTGCAGGCATGCAGAGATTCCTGAACATCACAATTATGGAGCATGCGTGATAAATGAAAGGCAGACAGAGATTCTTGACTTGAGCATCACATGTAAATGCAGAACTTTGCATGGGCATTGATTATAGAGTAGACAGGACAAGTGAAAGGCAGAACTTTATCAAACACTCAAACACTCAAACATTGATTATAGAGTAACACGCAAAAACACT